TCCTGTTTGTTTGTTTGTTCCTCCAGATCCAAGGCAATATCTTTGCGGGCTTCGATGAGACTTTGCTGAGAGGGGCTGAAGCCCTGGCGGCCGTGGATATAGTATCGCAGAAAACCCATCCTTTCAAGCCAGACGCCACTTACCACACCATGAGCAGCGTCTCATGCACTCCTACCTCCTCCTCCGTTCACCTGCACCACCCTTCGGTCCTGACCACCCACCATCCTCACCATCACCACCACCAGCCCTCGCAGGGCTTGGAAGGGGAGCTCCTGGACCACCTCAACTCTGCCATCCCTCTCGGGGGTGTCCCTGGACCTGATGTGGGCTCCACGCCCTCCCACCCGCATTCCCACATGTCCGCCATCAACCACATGGCCCACCACTCCCAGTCTATGAACATGGCTCACCCGCACGGGCTGGCCTCCCACGCTGTCATCTCAGGCCCCGAGACAGAGACGGACCCCAGGGAACTGGAGTCCTTTGCAGAGCGGTTCAAGCAGAGGAGGATCAAACTGGGGGTGACCCAGGCGGACGTGGGCTCCGCCTTGGCCAACCTGAAGATCCCGGGCGTGGGCTGCCTGAGCCAAAGCACCATCTGCCGGTTCGAGTCCCTCACCCTGTCCCATAACAACATGGTGGCCCTGAAGCCCATCCTGGAGGCTTGGCTGGAGGAGGCGGAGCGGGCGCAGAGGGAGAAAATGACCAAGCCTGAGATCTACACGGGCGGGGACAAGAAGCGCAAGCGCACCTCCATCGCCGCCCCGGAGAAGAGGTCGCTGGAAGCCTATTTCGCGGTGCAGCCCAGACCCTCCTCCGAGAAAATCGCAGCCATCGCAGAGAAGTTAGACTTGAAGAAGAACGTGGTGCGGGTCTGGTTTTGCAATCAAAGACAGAAGCAGAAACGGATGAAATTTTCTGCCACCTACTGAGAAGGGGCGGGAGAGGAGAGAAGAGCAAGCGGCATCACCTCCAGCCAGACCTCCCGCCGCCCTTTCCCCGCTCCCGCAGCAGCACCAGGCAGGTCACGTTTTCCTGTAGTTTACTTCTAAAAAAAAAAAAGGGGGGGGGGGGGGGGGACCACCAAGAACTGATAAGCTCTCCCTCTTTTCGAGCCCGCGATTGTCTTTGCGAAGAAAGGAACTGACCATGCTACCATGGCTAATAAAGACTTCGCTTTTTAAAGAAAAAAAAAAGAGCAAACAGCAACACACAGGAGGAACTTAGACAACTGTACAATAGTCCTGGTGAGTGAAAAAAGTCAGGTCTCGAGCCTTTGTTTGAGAGAAGACTTTGACCCCCCCCCATTAATCCCTCTTCCACTGACTATTACAAAATGTAAGAGGAGACAAAAAATCAATGAAACTTGAAAAAAGATACATGTTTATTCCTCTCGGTTTCATATCCACAGTTTCTTCCTCTCGTTTTCTTTTTTCTTTTTCCATTTACGAGTGTAAATATGTTCTGGGGATGGCACTGCACAGAGTTGGAAAGTTCTGTTCCGTGGGGTTTCTTTGCTGTACAGCACGTCATTCATGTCAGACTCTCTTTATTTAAACAAGCATTCACTTGAAGGGCTTCCCCCACCACACACACACCACACACACACTTGCATGGTTT